CACACACACACACACACACACACACACACACACACACACACACACACACACACACACACACACACAGCCTCTGGCAAGAGGTTAGGTATCCAAAAAAACAAAACAAAACAAAAAAAACTCCTTAGTCAGCATGAAAACCCTCCCTCAGATGAATCCTTACAAGTCTGGACTCCGATGACTAATCCTGCCTTTTTCTTTTCAGATGAAATCTGACACGACTTCTAATAAACGCAGGATTTACCGTCTCAACCATCAGATTCTGGCCTCCGCTCGCCACGAGCCTCCGTCTCTGCTGAGCTGCCTCGTTGTGCACATGTTTGTGTTCGAACACGTCTCTGTTTAGAGGAGATTTGTGCCATAAGCTCCGTCTAGAAGCTCCTCAGAGGTCTGGATGCTGCTTCAGTCCTCGCTGTCGCCACAGTAATTACAGACAGTTCAGCAGAGCGTTGCATGAGGCATGAGAGGCACAGGATGCCCCGAGGATACCAAAAACACTGTCCTCTAATTCCAGGATTAAGACAAGGGCCTTGTAAAAAAAGAGCCTGTTAGTAAAAAATGTGTTTAAAAGACGACAGAATGCAAGTGTTTCAGAAAAGCAGAGGTTTTGTGTCTGACAGATGTCTGCTCATTAGTTAAAGTGGTGACTGATGACAGTTTGAAACGTCTCATTTAGACTCATCTTTGACTTTATTTGTTTTGTTTTTTTTTTCACAGAGGGTTTTGAGACCGGAGCTGCTCCCACCAGGAGGCCGATCCTCGATGCTCGGTTTTGGCAGGAGCTGGCCCGGAAACAACACCAGACCGAGCTCAAAACCAAAATGAAGGAGGATCGAGTCCAGAAAGAATCACAGGTCGACTTTCACCGATTATTGATCAGAAATCAAACACTGAGGAGGAAAATAAACTGATTTAGCTGTGTTCAATTAAACTTTATTTATAAAACATCTTGAGCTTTAAACCAGATAAAAACAGCAGGAAAGATAAAAGAAACAAATTATAAAAGTATAAAAAAGGTAACTGAAGAAACTCAATTTAATGAGTAAAAACCAGAGGTTAGAAATTAATAATTATCATTGTTTATACTCAGAGTTATACAGTTTTATACTCAGAATTATGGTTTGTGCAGGATACTGTTCTTTACTCAGCTGGGATTTGATACTAAGAGTTAGTTTCTTTTATACATAAGTTTTATGTGAGTTGTAAAATCCTATACTAAGAATTATGTAATGAAATACTCAGGATTATGCATTCTATATTCTGTCACTCATCTTTACTCATTTGAGCTTTTTACACTAAGAGTTAGGTTGTTTTTACACAGGTTTTACATGAGTCATAAAAAGCTATACTCAGAGTTATTCAATTATATACTCAGAATTATGCTTTATTCAGGTGTACTGTTCTTTACTCAGTTGGGATTTTATACTAAGAGTTAGCTTCTTTTATATGTAAGTTTTACATAAGTCATGAAATCCTATACTCAGAGTTATGCAAATATATACTCAGAATTATGCATTTGTATATTCTGTTACTCTTTTCTATACTCTGGCTTTTTATACTAAGAGTTGTAAAATTGTCTACATGCTTAAACTGATACTGAAGTCATAACAACTGGAATTCCAAAATCTAAAATAAATGGTTTCAAACTGGATTTGGCTCAAATTAACTGGGACATTTTAATTAAAGTGTTAGATTTAAACCAGAGTGCAAACAAACTCGTTACTCCACTGAGTGATTTATTAAAAGAAAAGTACACAAAAACCTGGAACCTAAAAACTATTGCCTATGGTCTAACAGTGAGATTTGGCAGTGTTATGGACTAATTATCTATCTGTGTCACTTGTTCAGTGTTAATCTGTGTTGGCCCAGACAACAGGACTCCGCAACGGACTGACCTCTCTTGTTTGATAAGACASTCTTTGAGCTGGGAGCCCTGTGATAGGCTGGAGAGTACATTGGGCGATCTGTGATTGGTTATAAGCACGTCATATGATGTTATCATGGTGTACATTATTGGCTGTGTCCGCTGACGTGTCAGCGACGAGCCAACAGAGCTTCCTGATTGAGTCCTGTTTGCCTGTTGCTCAGAATTAAATCATTTATGACGACCAAACACGCAGACTTTTCTGGCATTATTCCAACGTGTTTCTGCTTTCATGCGACGACAGAAATTGGCGTTGTCGACAGGATTATTATATTGTATTATGTATTATATTATGAAAAAACTAGATCTTGCAGTAAAAAAGAAGTAAAACTGATCATCTAATCTACACTGGCCTTAGAAATCAGATCATAAAGGAAATGATCATTGCTAAACCCAATTATTTCATTAAAATTATTTAAAAAGCCAGTGAAAGCAGCACATAAACAGTTTCATTAATTCAAAAAAGAAAAATCCTCGAAGAATAGTGCATAGAGCATGGAAACGTTTTTCATAACAGTAAATCAATTGTAAATATGTTTCATCAGTTTTTCGTTGACTCAGTGCATGAACTATAATATAAGTTTAACAGCACTAAACATAAAAAATAAATATGAACAAATTCACATCAAAATACATCCAAACCTCAGTGTAGCGTTGATTAAAAACCATCTGAATAAATTCCTAGAATCTATCACAAAAGGTCAAAAACATTTCCACGGAGCAGGAAAACTGCTGTAATCAAACCCAACAAGTAAAGCCAAGTTTATACAGTAATAAGTAACAACAGACTTTTGCTACTTTCTCTGTATTTTCTAAAGATTGTTGCAGAACAATTAATAAAACATCTGGAGCTAAACCACTTCTGTTTGCATTCAGACAAACATACAGCACAGAAACAGCAAAATGCCACATATCAGATAAAAGCCTCACTAGACAACAGTCAAGTTGTTGGTGCTGCTTTTTTAGACCTGAAAAAGCTTTTTGATACTACAGATCATACATTAATGTAAAAAAATGCAGACTTTGTTATGGTTTAAATCTTGTGGTTGACAGCAATGTGTCCAAATGATATGGGAGTACCGCATGGATCAGTTTTGGGTCTACTGCTGTTTAAAACGTGATCTACCATGATGTCAACTACCAACTGTGTGCAGATGACACTGTCATCTATGTTTCTGCCAAAACACCTTCATTTTTTCTATTCTCTGAGTTATAGTCTTCTACACAGGGTTAAACTTTTCTATACTCAGAGTTATAATCCTATATCAGAATTAAACATTCTTAGGAAGACAGAGCATAACAGTAAACAATCCTTAATAAATCTGTGGTCTAAAGTTTTTGTAAAAAGAAACAGCAAATTCAGTGTTTTAGATGATAAAATGTCATCTTTGTGATATTTTTATTTTGATCTGAAAGTTAAATCACAATAAAAGTAAAAGTTACACCAAAGTTGTTTATCTGATCTGAACGACTCATTACCAAAGCTTTTTTTCTGTCAGTTTCATTTAACAATGCACTATATTTATTTTTTCTAGACTTTTAAATAAGTGGGAAGAAAGTATGCTATAAGCAAAGAAAAGCAATTTCATCACATCTTTGGTTCTGTTAGCAACTTTGTTTTTGTCTGTTTGTAAAACAATAAAAGTCTTTTCTCTGTAATTTAATCATCAAACAGAATATTCAGTGRGTTTGGTACAGCAGTGCCAGTATGGCATAAATCTTGTGCCAACAGGAAGTGAATTTGAATTGCTCAGATTGAATCTGAATGTGCAGAATTTGAAACTGAATGCATTGATGCAGTGATTAATTTGACCTTTATGTAGAAAATGTTACATTTACATCACATCATGGATCACATATTGATCAGATGCTGCTG